AATAAAGCCCATTTAGACGATCAACTGTCCAAAAAGTGCAGCACAAGAAAGGGTGTATCTCCTCTGCTGTTCAATATTTACGGCGACTGGATTATAAGGAAGGACACAGAGGAGTGCGGTAAAAATCTTAACTTAATTTAAGATACGCCGATGTTACAACAGAGGAGGAAATAGAATGACTTCTCAGCGTGTACAGCGTTTGTAGCAGAGAAGCTGGTCTTAACTCAAGTCACACAGGATCCTAATAAATTTTGGAGATATATCAATAAGATGATGATGACAATGATCAAGAAATGGTAACTTATTTGCTTATCTTATCATGTAAAAAAAAACATGAAGGGGATGATCCTGACTATAAATATGATGACAGAAGCAATGCTGGTAGCTATATCTGCCATTCTCCAACCATGAGTTTTCTCAGGATATATCTGCTTTGGCTAATCTACTCACTTATCAGCAGGATCTGTTGAGTGCTTTTGAGAAGTCTAAACAAGTGGACAGTTTGTACACGGACTTTTTAAAGACATTTGACAGAGTCAGTCTTGAACATCTTATTAGTAAGTTTGAGGCCATGAGGATGGGTGTTTTGTCGCAGCTTTTTAACAGCAAGTCCGAATCAACCATTAGATTTCTAGACGAATTGTGGTCCACGGTTCACACATAGGTCAAGTTTCCTTTAATTTGTTTATAAAACATCTGAGTGACGCGGTTCTGTATTCTGAATATCTTGCCTTTGCAGATGTTTTCAAATTTCATAAAACAATTAAATAATTAATCAATGCTCAGCTTTTTGACGGCGACCTTAATAATGTTTGTGGTGCAGACAAAATGGTCTGCATCTAAATGTTTAGTATTACTTTTTCTTGCCTAACTAACACTTTTCAAAATAGATATATTACTACCATCACACTACTGGAACACACTGTTAAGAAGGGCATAAGAAATCTTGGTTTTATTACCCGTAATAGTACACTGCGCTCTCACTCTACTGTGTTAAAATCGTTTTCTGCTCCTTAGTTTACATGAGTATGGTGACTGGAAACTGTTCAAAGGGCATTTCCGAGATCTCTAGCATATAAAGCCGGTATAAATATCTGCACATTAATTATGATCTGGAACTTGACCCTTTTATGATCGATGGTCTGAAAATTAGAAAGACCTGCTCCGATATCTTGACGCTTTATAAGATTTTGAACGTTATATACAACTGCTCGGCTCCTTTCCAGTTTGAACATTAGCAAGCCACTACCGACAAATCTATTTTTGCTACTAATGTGAGTTATTATTTATCGTTTATAATTTCCCGAAGGTGTTTTTATTCCAGTGGACAATCACAGTCTTGCATGAATGCTTGCTTCGCGCTTTTTTAACTTTTATCCTGCCATGTTTTACCTTAATTTATCCAAGTTTGGTTCGGATAATAGCCCTTCGAAACTGTAAAACTGCTTTCATATATCGTCGTCGCCATAAATACTTTCGCCTTTCTCCATTAGAAGTAATATTCTGTTTATAAAATTCATGTCCTTTAAAGTTTTTCACAATTTCATCTTACCTATGGGTGCAATGTACATCTTTCAAAATAAAAAACCTCAAAAAACTAAGAAAAACCTATAACCAGTTCCAGTGAACACCAGGAAAACTCATGAGACACGTTGTCAAATGACAGATAAGTTTTAATTAGTATTTATAGGTAAAACATGAATATGGCCCTAGTTTGATAGCCACAACGGAAAAGTTTCCTTATGTTTTTTGTCTTTTGTCTTTTTGTCTCCACTCTCTTTACTTTATCATCTCATTGATTCCTATTTAGCACATTCATAGTGGTACAATTAGGTTTGTGAACATAAGGAATAACAATAATAATTATTATTATTCAGGAAAAATCAACAAAAGTCAAATATTCATTTGATTTGTGTTTTTTTTTCGTCCTGTATATAATAAATAATTAAAAAATAAAATGGTATGCCATTTAAGAAAGAATTTGTTATCTACATCTATGTTGACGGTCCACCCTATATACTCTCGAAAAATGCACAAGAAAATATTATGGAACCCAATATTTTTGTTCCATATTTTAGCCGTTCACTGTATATAATATAAATTGCCAGCAGGAAATATTTGAAAGTATTTTTAAAGCTAAACATTTTTTTCTTGTTTTTTCTATATTTATAGAATTCCCAAAAGTTTCAAAAGAGATACAAGATTTCTACGGGGCACCATGTAACGTAGGTCCACAAATCTTTGCATATTGCACCAGGAACCCCCAATCGTTTATTTTCTCACGAAACAAACGAGAAAAAAACAAAATTGATTGATGCCCGACCATCGAAACGCGTACAGATCGCTCTATCATTCGCAAGTGGAACTCTCGAATCATCGTCCGTAAAAATTGAAGAGCTCTATCGAGATCTACCCTATATAAAAACCGGAAGTGGGCTCTCTCTCTCTCTCTGTCATTCTGCAGGCAAAATAATTATTTAGCCATTTCGAAGCGAGGCGCGGACTTCCAAACTGAATTAATAAACGCGAGATGGAAATGATGAAACGAAAAAAAAAAGCCTACGATAACTCTTAAATTATTTATGGAATACCGAAAACGAACGTTTTCTGTCTTCTTAGCTGACGCGAGCGCTGGCAGCAAAATCGACAAATAAGTACATTTTAGTGAATTACAATTTCGGCACATGGTTAACACAAACATTTCACCTTTCATTTCTTTTTTAAAAAGAAATTTAGTTGGCTTTTTCAGAGATTAACTAAATTTTGGCTCGCATTCTACTCTGCACCTAGTTATATATTGTTTGAGGAGACGGAGTTGAAGGAGGAGCATGAACATTGTCTCGGATGACTGATTCCTATTATTGATGAAAGATAAAGACCTAAGTTGCGGTTAAGATTATTTGATAGAAGAATTGATTACAAGCAAGAATTTTGGTTTTGATTAGCTATATTTGAGAAGCGCACATTGATATTAAGCGTTCCAGCGCAAAATACACTTCACCACAACCTTTCAAAGTCAATAAGTCCGAAAGCATAGGGTAGGTAGGTTAAACACACGCAAAAAGGTAAAATTGATTTATCATTTTATAGTAACTCAGAATTGGCATTTTGCATAAATGTTGAATAAATAATATATATTCAAATTGAAATAATATGTATTCAAGTCATTGGAAAAAGGTATCTGAAATGTTAAACATCAGAAATTTTAAGAGCTGCTTGAGAGAAGCATGTATAAGAGAGGAAGAAGATCTAAAGAATATACACGATAAACTTACGATGAGATAAAGCAACTAAAAACTACATACATTTCACTTAGTTACAGTTCTGATAGCAGGTGAGTGGCCTAGATATTGGCTCTAGTATCAAGCAATTCAAATTAGTGGAATAGGGATAAAAATGATTTTGCATTCATTGGCGATATTAGTCAAACTGTCAGACCTACCATTTATCAGATATGGACATAGATTTTTTCTATGAATACCAAGAAGTTTATATTCTTTTGGTAGGTAACCTCTACCTTTGCAAAACTTAAGTCACCAATAAATGTTAAGTATCAGTTTTAGCGAAACGTTGACATTGTTTGCTCATTATTTATGAAATTTATGAAGATAGAAAACGTAATGTAAACATGGTTTAAGTTGACTTGAAAAAATTTTTTTTGTCCCAGGGGTTGTGAAAATACTTGGAAAAAAAATCCATACAAGGTATTTGCCAGTAATTCAAAAAAATGGTTAGCTGGACCAAGAAGACGTTTGTAAATGCAAACTAAGGCTCGATATAACTCAAGGAAATAAACATGGACCGGTAAGAGCCAGGAAAATTTTCGTTTTAGTCACTAAAATTAGAAACTGTGATTACCAAGTACATTGTTTATTCTTGGTCCTCAAGCGGAAAAGAAAGAGTACCTACATCACCAAAAATAGAACAACAACTACAGTTTTGTCAGGCGGATCCAGTTATCCTAGTAAAGCAGTTCATACAGAACCAAAAAGGAGCATAGAAAGTGTTTCCACAACAATTCAAAAATCAAATGCAATGCAAAAGAAAGATTAAAAGTGTGTTGGGTTTAATATCGTGGAAATATAAATGGAGGTCGAGTGTTGACTTCGTCTCGCTGATGCTTCGCCAATCATGATACTAGTTTCTTGAAATGCACTTTAAGTCAGTTTCAGGTAGCGCACGTGAAAAATCCAAATGTGTGTTTGGAACTAATATGTAAATAAAAATACTTTACATTTCAGTTAATAATTTTTCCATAAAAAAATGTTGTAAAAGCCTTAACTAATATCACGCATATAAAAATCTTCGTGCGCCTGCCAGCTGAAGAGAAGCTCTCGATACGAGCACTGACGTCACGAACGTTTAGAGAATTTGGACCGATTTATGACATTTCTTTCCTTTTTATCGCGAAAACTCACACATTTCAGAAGTTTATTATTTTTTTCATCACCTCTATCAAGAACTTTAAAGGAAGGAGCTACAAAAATCATTAAAACTTTAACAAAACAAATAAAAACTAAAAGTTCAGATTTTAACGAAATTATATATTTTCACATGACAATTGTTTCGACAATACCGTGTCTTTAACAATTGTAAAAATTTGATAAAGACATGGTGTTGTCGAAATAATTGTCATGTTCATAATATAGAATTTCGTGAAAATCTGAACTTTTAGTTCTTATTTATTTTCATAAATGAATTTTCATCAAGTAAAAGCCACCTCAGTTCAATTTTTAAAACTTTAAAGCAATACTAATATTAATACATAGCACCAATACGTGCCACGTTATGTTATATATTCAAAGCATTTACTTAACAATAGAGGGTTATGTTTGATAAAACAACCAACCCTATAATTTGGCATTTTGACAGTCCCGAAAGCGATCGGCAAAACGATATGTCGTTTATTACTTTTGGTAACGTCACGAAACTATTCGATGCGCAACAATTGCGGTTCGGAAACCGGGATGCTAGTTGAAACGAAGCTAATAATTACTTACGATATGGTTGAGGTCTGGACCCGTAGTGGGGCGGTTCTTGCAATAAGGGTTGCGGTCGACCGTTGGCGTTCTCTTTAACTGAAACAAACGAAAATGTTGCAATATCGAAGCAACGAAGCCGTGAAGAACATACAAACTAAAGTTTACCAAAGTTTAAGCAAATCGATACGTAGGCAGCGCAACGCACACATAAACTAATTAAAGTGCTTTGTTCTGTTACAGCGTAGTGCAGAATTGCAAAACAGGTAAAATGGAAGTTGAAAAATGAGAAGTTTACGTCAAAAAAATTTAACTATGTGTTGTTAATTTATTTTTAACGTTTCTTGCAAATTTTTTAATATCCCATTTTATATGTTTACAGCCCTTTGCAGAGACCATATAGAATTAATTTTGCAAAAGATACTTCCACAGGCTACTGTAATACTTTTTATAAAACTTCTTGATTCCTCCTGCGTCGGTTTTTGTTGAGTCCAACTAAATGTTTCGCCAATCATCCTGTTGGCTTCTTCAGAGCTCGATTGAAATATATATATACAGTTTTCAGTCAAGCTTTGAAGAAGCCAATATGATGATTCGCGAAACGTTAGCTAGTTCAACTCAACAAAAACGGACGCAGGATAAATTCCGAAGTTTTATAAAAACCATATAGAATTCCTTCTTTCAATACTACATATTTCGAACATAGAAGTTTTGTATTGCGCCCTTGCGAGAACTCTCCTTGAATACGCTTTTTGTATCTGAAACCATCATTGCAATCGACTTAAATTAGTGGAGCGGAGTTTCTAGGATCCATTAATTATAAGTTTAAGGAAACTGTCGGCTACGATTGCAACGAAATTTAATCTGAAGTGGATTATTATCATCAAAATTAAAAGTAGAGATGCATTTCTATTTTTCTTTTTACTGTTTTGACTTAATTAATAAACTATTCCGATCTAAATCAAATACTACCAGACAATAAACAGTACCGCACAAAATATTTCTGAAACCAGCCTTTTATTTTAGAAAACTCGTTTTGTCACTCAAGTCAGCGTAATAACGTCATCAGTGAAATTGTCAACTTGCAAACTTGCAACCAACACAGTATCAATATTCTTGGGTTACAGCTATTGTGCTGTTCACATGTAATGAATGCAAGAAAAGCATTACACATTTACTGATAAACAACCCTTTGCCTCAACTTCTAACAACAACCACTAAATCTTTGAAGTAGCCCCAATGGGTTGAGGTCGGGTTACGAGCTCTCTATCTATGTGGGAAAGTTTCATCCAGAAAATTTAGAACCAATCAAGGATATAATATATATATATATATATATATATATATATATATATATATATATATATATATATATATATATATATATATATTTAGCTTTTGGTTCTTGGGTTATAGGTCTTTGTATTAAAAGCGATTAAAATTTTTTTTTGTCCATATATTGACGTTTCGGTCTTCTATGACCTTCTTCAGAAAGGGGTACAGTCTAAAATTATGTTATAGTACAGTCCTTTTTTTTTTTACATATACACAACGGAATTACAAAGAACCTTACCAAAAAGAGACAAACACAAATCTTAAAATTGAAGAGGTAGCATCATATGGAAGTTTATACTTTAAAAGCGTTTGGTTTTGTCATAGTGCCTAGAAATATTATTGTTTTGGTTTTTTCCAACTATGAGAATAAAAAAGTCATACCCTTGATAAAAGATAAAAGTCCAACAAAAAATGATTTGTATACGGCACTCACACACATAATACACACAAATTTAACGAAAAAGTTAAAATATATATAAGAGTTTAAAATAATAATAATAATAATAATTCCGATACGCGAGGTTTGCTCGCGTCGACGTTACTGTAAAAACATCGTACGATGCACGATTGTTTTGGTGCAAGGTTCAGAGGATGTACAGAGTGTTTTTGTTAATTTATAATTTTTTTCTTTTATTTATTTTAAATTATTTTTATATATTATAATTTTATATTAATATATCCCTATGTTGTTACTTTCATTGTTGTTTTATTTCAGAATGTTGCAATATAACTTACTGAGATTGTTGGTGTCTGTTTTCGAATTTATAGAGTTCTTATTTTTTTGGATCTCAACCATTTCCAGAATTTCCCTTTTTTTTGTATTATTTTCGGTTTTTAGAATTTTTACTTTCGCAAAGTTGAAAGAATGCTTGGTTTCCGCGCAATGACTCTTCAGGGCAGTCGTATTTTTTTTGGCGTATTTGTGACCATTAATTCTGTTTTTAAGATACTGGCTTGTTTGACCGATGTACACACCCTCACAATTGTTGCAAGGTATCTCGTAAATGACGTGACTCTTCTTTTCGTCCGGTATCTTGTCTTTTAATTTACTGAAAATGTTTTTTACCAAATTGTATCCTTTGTGAGCAATAGTAATGTTGTGATTCATAAAAATTTTGCTAAAATTTTCGGACATACTGGGTATATAAGGAAGCGAAAGATAATTTTTTTTTTGTTTTTGTTGGGTGTTGCTTTTTTGTTTAGTTTGGTTATAGAATAGGTGTATACGTTTTTTGAAAATGGTGTTAATTAATCGTTCCGGATAGTTATTTAGTTTTAATGCTTGTTTTGCTTTAGTAATCGATTTTTCTCTGAAATCCGGATCAGAGAGTTTAATTGCACGGTCAGCCAAGCCAATAATTACGGATTTTTTTTGCGATATAGGGTGCTGGGAGTTAAAATTAACGTATCTGGAAGACCAGGTCACTTTAGTGTACCATTCGGTTTTAATTCCATTTTTTAAATTATGAAGGGTTAAATCTAAAAAGTTGATTTTACTTTGGGACTCTATTTCTATTGTAAATTGTAATTTCTGATGGTAGCTGTTGAAGAGTTGAAGAATTTCGTGTTGTTTGTTTTTTGGTATTGCCGTTATGCAATCGTCTACGTATCTGTAGAAAAAAGGTATGTCAAAAAGGGCATTGCTAAGGACCGACTCCTCCAAATCTTCCAGTACAATTTGTGCGATGGCGTTAGAAATTGAAACTCCCATGGCGTATCCGTCGATTTGTTGATAAAAAACTTTGTCGTATGCAAAAGAGGTTGATTTTAGTGTTATTTCGACTGCTTCTAAAAAGTCATCGAGCGGAATATCGGTAAAGGTTTTGATGTTATCCCATTTTTTGATGATTACTTGCTTAGCAATATTTATTGGAATGTTGGTGTATAGAGAAGCAACATCTAATGAAACTACGATGTAATCGTTGGGTAGAGAAATATTTTTAATTTTGTTTTTGAAATCAAAAGAGTCTTTAATATAGTATCTATTTTTATGTATAACGTTTTGCAAGATGTTCTTTAAAAATTTTGAGAGTTTTTCAAATGGTGATTGGATACATGATACTATTGGTCTTAGAGGGATGGATTCCTTGTGAAGCTTGGGTAATCCATAAATTCTGGGTGGCTGAGAATTAAGAATTTTTAAGCTTTGCGCTGTGCTATGGGAAATGTATAACTTTTTTTCCCAGGAGGACACTAAGTCGTTGTTCTTTCTCTGAAAAATAGCTGTTGGGTCGTTTTTCATTTCTCTGTAGGTGGTATTGTCTTTTAGTAGATCTAGCATTTTTTTGTCATACTGAGCGTCCGTCATAATAACTGTTTTATTTGTTTTATCTGGTATCAAAATTTTGAGTTCTTTATGTTGTTTCAGGAAAAGTTCTGTTTTTTTAATTTTAGCGCATAGATTTGAATTTTGTTTATTTTGATCTGTTTTTTTTGGTTTTTTGTTGAATTTATTTTTGTAATTAGTTATTATATTGCAACATTCCGATCGCACCTCGTCCCTAGTTTGAGTGTTAAGACCGTTTAAGGAAGTTTCGATACCTGCAATTATGTCACCGATTGGTAACTGATCGGCTCGTTCTAACGGTGTAGCAAAATTTGGACCAAGACTCAAAACTTCATTTACGTATTCCGGAATAACGGTCTCTGTTAGATTTTCCACCCAATCGGTGACACAAATATCTGGATTTTTGTTTTTTTTGTATAATTGTTCGAATTTCTTAATGTTTTTGTTTTTAATTTTTTGGAACAAGAATTCGGTTTTTTTTGTTTGTCTGTCGATCAAAATTGTTGATATGTTTGCAGGGACTAGAGTGGTGAGCTTTTCTATAAAACCGTCAATTTGTCTTTGTAGTTTTGAGATATTTTTAGTTGTGTCCGTGATTAAAAGATTTATTGTATTTAGCACAAAATTTCCCATGATGCCCTCTCTGAATTTCTTTTCGAGATGTTTACAATTAAAAGTGATGTGTTTCATTTTAAAATTGAGAAAAATGGGGGTTACACCGTCGTTTTTGCACCGAAGGAGGAATATTCTTCTGTTCTTCTGTTTGCATAGTTGTGTTACTGATTTGCAGTATAATTTCAAGGTTCTTGTAGTTCCCTCGCCGAAAGTGTTAGAGATGTATTCGTAGGTAAGCATATTTTCACCCATGCTGTATATATATTGTTTATATTTTGTTTTTTCTTAGACCTTCTCTATATTTATGTTTAGCTTTTGGTTCTTGGGTTATAGGTCTTTGTATTAAAAGCGATTAAAATTTTTTTTTGTCCATATATTGACGTTTCGGTCTTCTATGACCTTCTTCAGAAAGGGGTACAGTCTAAAATTATGTTATAGTACAGTTCTTTTTTTTTACATATACACAACGGAATTACAAAGAACCTTACCAAAAAGAGACAAACACAAATCTTAAAATTGAAGAGGTAGCATCATATGGAAGTTTATACTTTAAAAGCGTTTGGTTTTGTCATAGAAGCAGTCGAAATAACACTAAAATCAACCTATTTTGCATACAACAAAGTTTTTTATCAACAAATCGACGGATGCGCCATGGGAGTTTCAATTTCCAGCGCCATCGCACAAATTGTACTGGAAGATTTGGAGGAGTCGGTCCTTAGCAATGCCCTTTTTGACATACCTTTTTTCTACAGATACGTAGACGATTGCATAACGGCAATACCAAAAAACAAACAACACGAAATTCTTCAACTCTTCAACAGCTACCATCAGAAATTACAATTTACAATAGAAATAGAGTCCC